ATTTAGTGTCTCTGCTTTAATGTTTAGATCTTTAATCCATTTTGACTTTAGTTTAGTACATGGTGATACACCCGGGTCAAGTTTGAGTTTTTGGCATGTAGAGAGCCAGTTTTTCCAGCACCATTTGTTAAAGAGGCTGTCTTTCTTCCAGTGAGCATTTTTAGCCCCTTTCTCAAAGATAAGATGGCTGAGTGTGTTCATAGGGGATTCAGTGTCTTCTATTCTATTCCATTGATCCTCAGGTCTATTTTGATGCCAGTACCATGCTGATTTCATCACAGTAGCCTTGTATTATAATTTCAAGTCAGGAATAGTAATGCCACCTGCCTTGTCTTTATTGCCCAGAATTGCCCTTGCTATTCTAGTTCTTTTCCTGTTCCAGATATATTTTAGGAATGATTTCTGTATGTCTGTGAGATATGTCGGTGGTAGTCTGATAGGGATTGCATTAAATCTATACAGCAATTTTGGGAGTATGGCCAGCTTCACAATGGTCCTTCATTTATATCCCATTTCTTTGTTTACTTTTGTCAGAGATGGATATTCCATTGAAATTCATATATTGTAGGTGTATGAATTTGCAAAATAATCTATTATAGTTCAGTAGTCCATAATAGTAGTGGGTTATCAGCAAGACTGGTAATGTCAGGAGTTGTTTTCTTGAGCCTTTTAGAACTCATCACATTAATATGGCTTTCCTTTTTATATCTCATTTTTATACTTTTCTGCTAGATGGTTAAGACCTAGCTAAAGGAAGACCTATATAATAAAAACTGTAACTTTTGTATCTGACATGGTCAGTGAAATCCCCTCAGGATTTACCCTGAAACACTGTATAGCATTTTGTAGATCTTTTTTCAGTGTCAGCTATTTTGATGAGTCACGGTCATTGCTTGACCAATTTGCTCTCTGCGAAAGCTTGAGAACATGTTTTCTCTCCATGTGACTCTCCTTAGGCACAATCTACATCATCCATCACTTTCCTCTGTGGCCGCATAATCTCCTTGATCAGATAATTTGGGACACTAGTGAGTTACAAACTCTTACAGTATAGGTTTTGTTATGTCCTCAGTCCTCACTGACCTTGGAGAGCTGTGGCCACAATGTTGGCTATCCTTGCAGTGTTTCTTTTTCTCTAATTTTTGGTCGACAAACTTCAGTTGTTACCCCTCAAGAAGACAAGCTTAATGATGTTATTACCCTAAAACATAGGCTGTTAAACTTAACATCAGTATCTGTCTAAATATCAAAAGCCTTAGACATAACATGGAACAGGTATTTTCCATCAATCACTGATATGCTAAATTTTACCTCTGTACAGACAATACTTGATGGAAAATACCTGTTCCATGTTATGTCTAAGATGTTTGATATTCAGACAAACAAGTTGAGCTCAACTGCCTATGCTATAGGATAATAACATCAGTAAGCTTCTCTTCTAGAGGGTTAACAACTTGCATTTGCAGACCAAAAATAGAGAAAAATAAGGCCTGCAAGGATCGCCAGTTTTGGCCCTAGCCAGTTCAGGGAGTACTCAGGATATAAGAGAACCTGTACTGTATCATCATGTAACTCAGTGATGTCCCAAATTTTCTGATCAAGGAGATTATGCAGCCACAGAGGAAAGTGATTGATGATGTAGAGTGTGCCTAAAGAGAGTCACCTAGAGAGAAACATTCTCACAGTCTTTCACAGAAAGAAAATTGGTTAAGCAAAGTCCATGACTCATCCACATGGATGACACTGACAAAGGATCTACAAACTGCGGTACAGGGTTTCAGGGTAAATCCTGAGGGATTTGACTAAACTTGTCAGATACAAAAGTTACATTTTTTATTATATAGGACTTGCTTTATATTGGTCTAAACCATCCAGCAGAAAAGCATAGAAATGAGATATAAAAAGTAACATTTTTTCTTTTATTTTAACAAACGTTTACTTGAGAGAGTGTATAACAGTAATTGGTATGACTTTAGAAGCAAGAAGATTTTAGAAGGCCAGAATGACAGGGATTCTAAGCATGGCCCTAATATTACACATTGCTATCCTCAGTGCAGGTGCTTAGTTCAAAAGTATCAGTGTATATAGTTAGTCAGGGTAAGAATCCTAACAATTAACTGCTAGGTTCGAAAACCTAATGGAGATTCTCAGGATCATTGTCTTAAGCATCTTGTGTATATAAATGTATGATTTTGCCCCTGCCATGTTTCCCAGGTTTTCTCCTTGCCCTCTCTTCATTGTTTAAGCCTTAAGTTCTTGCTTTCTATTAGTTGTGGTATACCTTTCAATTTTTATTAAAAACTTAACTATTTAATTTTCAATTTGAAAAATTCTTGGTTCCCAGATTTTTGATGATTGAGAAACTCATGCATTTGCTTAACTATATATTTGCAGATATACATTTCATATTATGAAATTAATCTGGAATTTAAATTTGCAGTTTTATTTATGCATGTATAAAAATGAAGTATATCTTTCTAACTTCGAAGGAAAATGTAAAGCTCTGAAAAGTTGCTACTATATATTTTTCCCTAGTACCCCCACTCAGTATGCAGTGAAAGTTGCAATCCTGGATTTAGAAAAAGCTCACTGGAGGGAAAGCCTGCCTGTTGCTTTGATTGCACCCCTTGTGCAGACAATGAGATTACCAATGACACGGGTAAGAGCATTCAGGCATATTTCATTTGCCCAGTGGTTGACACTATTATTTACACAAAGCAGGTGCTCAGCAAGACTGAGTTTCATTAACAATTGCTTATATCACAGCATAATTGCAAATCTTAGGATTTCATCCCTGTTCCCCTAGAATGTGTGGATAAATTGGGGAAAGCCTATAGCATTAATTAGAGTTTTAGCCCACATATGCAAGGATTATATGTGAACATACTAAGAGATTAACAAATGATAATACCTACATTTCAGGAGGATAGAATGGGCACTTTTATAGAGGTGATAGCATTAGTATATCAGAATGAAAACTTGTAGCCATTTTAGGTTTTATAAAAGTGGTTTAAATGTAACATTCTCCATTCATGGAACATTCAGATACCCTAAAGGCAAAAGCCATGTTGTAAAAGCACAAGTCATATGAGGATGCAGTTTAAAACTTTTCTATAAATTTATGCAACACTAAGATATAAAACACTTGCACACCATAAATACAACCCTGGTACTATTATATTTTTACATCATGACATGGTCTAATCACTTTCCTACTGAATATTTTCCATCTTGTTTTTATGGCTAATATAAGTTTTGATTTCAATATATTATTAGTATGAATTTAAATGTTCTCTGAAATTTATTGAGGCTTGTTATGTATTGCTGAACTATGTAGTTATTTTGAGTGTATGTTCTTCATAGAGTGTGGCAGTATGCGGCTTTTGAAAAAATGTTGCATGGCGCTTATAGTGAGCATTTCACCAATTAATATCAGTTAATACATGCCTACAATATCAACCATATACAGTCTATAGAATCGATTGAAACACAAAATCGAAGAGCTGAGCAATTCAAACTCCTGTGAGTTGATGCTAAAACTAAGATGAAAATTATCCATTCTACACACATAAACCTCTCTACTGTTGGGTTTTTAAATAAAAATAATGAAGTTCTGCATTTGAAATAGTCATAACACATTAGAAAAAAATAGTAGAGCAAGTAGATCACAAAGAAATGGAAAGATGGGGTGCATGCTGAAAAAAAATTTTACGAAAGTAAAAAGCTGGAAAAATAAGAACAATTAAATGTGATTCTGGTAATAAAATGTAATGACTCTTGGTACAACTGATTGAGAAGAAAGATAAAAACCAATAGATTTTTATATCATGACAAATTTGACCATTGATAAAGATATGTAGCAAACTTTTTTAATAAAAATACAAGCAATTTCTCATCAATATATGAGTTGAAATCTGTGAAATCATAGGAAAACTTAGCAACCAACACTAAGAAGAGATAAAAAAATCTTCATAATACCTATATCTCCACATTATCATGCCTACTTGCAGATAGGAGACCACAGTGTAATATTTCATTTGAATTTTTTTGCTGACTTATAACATTAATAGTGAAATTTATAAGCATTGCAAAATATACTAATACTGACCTGATTCTTTCAGAGAAAATGAAAAGGGCAACATAATTCATTCGAAGACAGGAGATAGATTGATTTCTTCAAAGCTAAGAATGCATTTAATTGAAATAAAGGTCGCAGTCCTCTCTCCTTTTTAAACTAAATTCATGTAATCTATTCCAAACTATGGGACATCATATCAAAGAATAAGAGGAAACATTCCTAAAATTCATTTGGAAGCAGAAGAGTCCTAGAGTAGCAAAATCAATCCTAAGCAACAAAGGCAAAGCAGGAGTCATCACAATCTCAGACTTAAATTATACTACAAAGCTATCATAATGACAAGAAAAAGAATATTGGCAAAAATACAGACCTAAAGATGAATGGAACATATCAGAAGACGTAGAAACAACTGAAGACACACTTGACAGTTTATCTTTGACAAAAGGGAAAAGCATGTTCACTGGAAGAAAAATAGCATTTTTAATCAATGATGCTAGAAGAACTCATTTTCCACATTCCAAAGACTAAAACTACACAGATGCTTCTCACCAAGGTCTACCTTAAAATGCATTACAGATCCAAATATTAAAATAAAAACTCTAAATCTTCTATAAAAGAGAATACTTAGAACTGTTGGAGACTTAGGCATAGGGAAAGATTTCATGAACAAAACTGTAATTGCATGTTAAATACTACAAAAAACCAACAAGTGGAATCTCATTCTGTTAAAATGCTTTTGTGTAGAAAAATTAATTGTCAATAAAGTGAAATATGCTGAAAAAAAATTTTCCACTCAAAGAGTGGAAAAAATATTTAGCTAATTGTCCTTCAGACAAAGAATAATATCTACAACATGTAAAAATTGAAAAAACTTAGATTCCCCAAATTTAAACACCCAATCCAAAAATTGGCACCGGCGATGAACATACACTTCTCAGATGAAGAAATGCTAGTGGAAAAATCAATATATTAAAAAATGTTCAATATCACTGATAGTTTGAGTGATGCAAATGAAATAATTTTTAAAATCCATCTCATTCCAGAAAGAATGGCTATTTTCAGGCAATTAATCAATAACAAAGGCTGAAGAGGTTGTGGGGGAAAATTTACACTTATCCACTGTTTGTACGAGTATATACTCATGCAAATAAGTCAAAATTCTTCAAAATATCAGGGATAGTGGTTCCATTCTATCCAGGTGTTCCCATTCTGGGTAACTTCCTGGAAAAATAAAAAGCATTGTACCTCAACAATATATGTGTCTTCCTGCTTATAGCAGTACTGTTTGTAATAGTTATATTTTGAAAACAACTTAAATGCCTAAAACTTGATGTATGGATAAAAAAGATGCAGGTTGTTTTTAATCAATAGCATACTACTCAGCCATTAAGGTGAATAAACTTGATATAAGTTTAAGTAAAGTGATGCATCTTGAGACTCTATTCATTTTACTATTATCTCACGTGCACTAAATCAGACACACACGTGTTAATATCCCATTTTTTTCTTGTGACATACCAAAGGTGCAAATAAGGACCAAAGAGAAAAGATGTTATGAAAGATGAATAAACTATTCAAGAGAAAGGGAAAATATAAAGTGAAGTAAGAATGGAAGGAAGGCAAAAGAAAAAGTGATGAAGGATAAAATGGAAAGAAAGCCTTGAAAATAATAAGGGGAGAAAATATGAAGAGAGGGATGAACACTGGTAAAAAGGAAAGTCAGGCCAAGTTATGCACAAGTAAAAGTTCCTCATAATAAGCATGATCATTATGTATATCTAAAATGTACCAATAAACTTAAGGAGAAAAGAAATGCAATATATATATATATATATATATATATATATATATATCCATGAGTATGATTATTAATCATGATATGTCCATTGGAACTGATTAAGCCTAACAGATTCATAAAGCATATTTCTCGGTGCATTTGGACATGATTGTATTGCAAGTCAGTTAAATAAAGAGGGAAGCCCCACTCCAGATGTGGACTAGCTGTAACTTGAATGGAAGTAAATGGAAAAGAAGGAGCAAGTGTTCTGACCTTGAAGAACTCCAGACTTCCAGAGCAGGGCTGCCCTTTCCTACTATCACCTTTGGACATGCATCTCGTGTCTCTAGGTTTGCACTGCTGCTTCTTCTGAAAGCTTCCAGGCTTGGCCTTGGGTAGGTGCTGCATCCTGGAAGTTTCTTATTCTGCTATTTCCACCTTCTCAGACTGAGAAGCTACTGGATCCTCTGGGTCTCCAGCATGAAGGCCATTGCACACTCTCCCGCACTGGATCCTGTCTGTCTAACCAAGAAAAATACATAATTTTTTTTAATGAGGTATATTTTTCAGGTACAGTACACCATAAGCAAACTCCATTTATAAAATACAATTAAATGAACCAGTTCCTGGGAAAAGAAAAATGACGTTAATAGATACAGATGGCATAAGAAAGGGGTATATCTCTATGATTTACAAATCAATAAAAAAAGTACTTCTTGCCAAATTAGGAGAACAGTCCCTCACTAACAAAAAATAGGGTACATATGGTCTCCTGCAGCACAATTTATGTTTGTGGCTTATCTAAAAACTTTATGCTTATTGCTATAATTTAGATATACATGATGATCACATTTGTCATAGCGAATGTGTCCCTGCGATTATATATCGTGATTTCTCCTTTTCCCCAATCTCCTGTCCTTTCTTCAACCCCTCTTCCCACATTATTTACAAACTTTTATTTCCATTGTATTCGTTTTTCTCATATTTTACTTTTCCTTTCCATTGCATCCACATTTTCCCTTTTCATTTGAAGAAATACTTCCTATTTTACAATATCTATAGTATATTATGGTTCTTATTTACATTTTTAGGTTTCGTTTTTACCAGAGAAGCTATGTGATATTTATACATGTATGTCTTATTTATTTTATTTCGGAGTATGTTCTAAAGGGATATCCACTGATCTAGAGATGTGTCAGGTTTATGTTTCTTTGTGGCTAAATAGTACTTTGCTATATGAACAGAAACAAATCAATTTTTATCTATTCATTAATTGATGAACATTTTAGTTGTTTCTAAGATTTAGATGTTATAAACTGCGCTCCTGTAAAAATAGGTGTACGTAGATTGCTGTAGTAGGATGCTTTTAATTCTGTTGGGAAGACTGTGAGAAGTTGAATAGCTGGGTCAAGTAAAACCTCTAGAGCTAGTAACGAGGTCTATCCACACTGATTTCCACAGTAGTTGCACCAGTCTACACTCCCACCAAGCATGGAGAAGATTTCTTTATTTTTCTTCAGCCCCTCCCCCATTTGTTATTGGTCAATCTCTAACTTCTTTTGTTATAGTTATCATTTATTGTTTTACTTCAGACATTATTTCTGAACTGATTTCCTCTATACCTTTCTGCAGGTGTTTCTTTACCTCTGATGCTATTACTTCACAGGTTTCAGGTGTGTGATTTCCAATGTCTTCTATGCTACTGTCTTCTGCATTTGTTCTGTGTGGGCTTAGGGCCTGAGAATGCATTTTGCTTCTTTTGTTTGTCATTTTATATAACACTGTTTTCTGACCTTTGATGTAGAGCTTAGAGTTATTACCCTGGCCCCAGGTCCAGATCTACCAAGTTTAAACTCGTCCAGGTGTGTGTGGCTTGAGTCTTGCTGCTGTGCTCCACTTCTTCCTGCTGCAGTGGTTGGAGGTGAACCTTCTGTGCCAGTCTTGCAAGATTGTCTGTTCCTGGATCAGCTGCATGGGTCTTGCCTCTAGCCTCTTTGCAGGGAGTTCTGCTGCAGGGTTCCACACCAGGCCTGTCTGATGGAGGAAGTTCTACTTACACGCAGGCCTGGGCTCTGGTTCAAATGAAGATCCAGCGGACCCCCGGCAGTTCCACTCACATGCCAGGCCTGGGTTCTGGGCTGAATGAGGATCTGGGGGGCCCCGGGTGGTCCCACACACAGGCCAGGCCTGGACTGTAGGTTGAAGGAGGACCCAGTGGACCTGGGCGGTCTCACTCACGCTGGGCCTGGGCTATGTGTCCTGTTATTGGTCAATTTTTTAATGACACCTATTCTTTGTGGAGTGAGAGGGAATCTCAGCATTGTTTTAATTTGCATCTCTTGAGTGATCAGTGATATTGAACATTTTTCATGTATTCATTTGACATTTGTACTTCTTCTGAGTATTATCTATTCATCTCAGATGTTCATTTTTGGTTTGGCTCTTTCAATTTTGGCAGATTGAGATTTGACAATTCTTTGTAGGTTGTAGGTAGTAGAACTTTTTCTGAAGAACAACTGACTAATAATTTTACCATGGTTGTACTACACCTCTACGAGACATAACACAAACACACACACACACACACACACACACACACACACACACACACAGATTGTATTGGAAAGAAAAAATATAAAGGATATGAATTTCTTCTGATATGAATTTCCGAGTATAAAATCCATGTAAATTAATAAATTGATCTTGGATTTAATGATGATGGAATGTAAGATACTTTAAAAATATGTTTCCACCCCTCAGTGATAAGGAACTCATAGATAAAATTTTGAAATCCGATTTTACAACTTTTCAAATCATTAAATATGTGGTCCTATATTTTGTAATGATTTGGAAGCTACCAGTATTAGACTATTAAAATACATCATGGATAATTAAAATTAAGTGTGAATTTTGCATAAAGCATGTTCATAGATGAAGAGGTTCAATGATAAAATTACTTGATGTTCAATACTTTTTTCATATATATATTCTCCTGGAATTTAGAAAATTATATTGCTTTCCTAATATGGGATTGGTCATTGAGTGATAAACTGAGGAATAATAATTTATAAACATGTGATTTGAATAGATACTTTTTTATTACTTTGTAAAAATAAAGAAATGTCTTTTATGGATATGGCAAATATAAAACGAAAGTAAATAAGAACAGTGCTAAGTGCTGTTGCTGTTCGGGACATATTCAGTCAGCATTATTTAGGAGTTATTGTCTATATACCATTGTGTTATTTTGTATCTAAAAAGAAATAGAACACTGAAGAGTGGTGATGCATACTGGGATCCACTGGTTAGGGAACCCAATAGAAGTGCATTTTCAATTCAAAGTAATCTTTGCAATCAAGTTTCTTGAGATGCTATGTCAAATGGTAAAATTTGAAATGGGTGGGAGTCTATCTGGTCTGCTGCAGGATACAGGTTGCTGAGCTGGGCCAGCCAATGAATAGCCAAGAGCACAGGAAAAAAAGGTGAGGGAAAAGGGTAGGGTGTAGCATGAGACCCAGTTCTTGGCATTGACAATGGGAGTTTTCTGGTGCTTCACAAAGAGCTCAGTAACAGCACCTGATGACAGTGAAACTCAGGGGAAAAAGGAAAAGAAAAAGACAAAACAACCAAAATTTGAGTGCAGTGCGGTTCTGGGATATGTGTGGGAATAACAAAGAAATTGTAAACATATGCAGATAATAATTTTAATTTTTGCTAGATATGGAACAGTGTGTAATGTGTCGAGACCATCAGTATGCCAACACTCAGCAAAATCTCTGTCTTGAAAAAGCTTTGACCTTCCTGGCTTATGATGATCCTTTAGGGAAAGCTCTGGCTGGCACTGCCATGAGTTTCACTATTCTTACAGTTGCTGTTCTTGGGCTCTTTGTGAAGCACAGAGACACTCTCATCGTCAAGGCCAACAATAGGGCTCTCAGCTACAACCTGCTCATCTCTCTCACCTTCTGTTTCCTCTGTTCCTTGCTGTTCATCGGTTGTCCAAGTCCAGCCACCTGCATCCTGCAGCAGACCACATTTGGAGTTGTATTTACTGTGGCTGTTTCCACTGTCTTGGCCAAAACTATTACTGTGGTGCTGGCTTTCAAGATTACTGCTCCAGGCAAGAGGATGAGGCAGTTGCTGGTATCAGGGGTACCAAACTCCATCATCCCCATGTGCACCCTGATCCAACTCACTCTCTGTGGCATCTGGATGGGGACAAATCCACCCTACATAGACACAGATGCACACTCTGAACATGGCCACATCATCATCATGTGCAACAAGGGCTCCCTCACTGCCTTCTACTGTGTCCTGGGATACCTGGGTTCCCTCGCCCTGGTGAGCTTCACTGTGGCTTTCCTGGCCAGGAACTTGCCTGACGCATTCAATGAAGCCAAGTTCCTGACATTCAGCATGCTGGTGTTCTGCAGCGTGTGGGTCACCTTCCTGCCCGTGTACCACAGCAGCAAGGGGAAGGCCATGTTGGCCATGGAGGTCTTCTCCATCTTGGCCTCCAGTGCAGGGCTGCTGGGCTGCATCTTTCTCCCCAAGTGCTACATTATTTTCTTAAAGCCAGAGAGAATTTCTCTGACTGGGATCAGACACAAAAGACATTCTGATGGAAAGAAACCTTTTTCTATATGAAAGAGTATTTGTTTTTCCTTAAAATCTTAGTGAATCTGGAGCAAACATTTACCATGTCTTCATATATTAGTTAACAACATGAAATTTACTTCTAATATCAATAGACATTTCTTTTTATCATAGTCAACATTGATAACTCATCTAACCTTTATCTTTCCACCATGAATTTTTCTGAGAAATATTTTTATTCTTTCATAAAATCTATAATATATTTGTGCTTAAATTTGATTTGGTTATTCATTTTGTGTTATGCATCATTTGATCTTCGGAATTCATTTTTTTCATTTTCCTATGCTAACATTTATCTGTAAGTAATCAAATTTCAGAATTTCTTCATGAATTTCATTAACTATTTCCTCTTCAAGAATGATTATGGCTGAAATATGCTAACTGTGGTTCATTTTAATAAATAGTTCATATTTCACCACACACCATCATCTGCCAACATATGTGAAGCTTTTCTTTCATGAATTCCTCTCTTTTTTTGCCTTTAGAATTCTAGACTGGCTTATCACATATGAATATATATACTTTTGATTCTAAAATGGCAATAAACTTAATTTACATGTGAATTGAATGCTAAGATAGTGTTATACAGTGAGTTTTAGTATCAGTGGTTGGCTAAATATTTTTGGTTTACCCTCTCTAAGCATCTTTTATTAGCTTGAGATATTTGTCCACATTTCTGTAATTATTACAAGTTGAATACATATAAATATTATATGCAGTATCTTTCTTCGCATTTATTTCTATTTTTAGGATTTGTTGATAACAGAAAAATAATTTTATTTTTTAAAATTTTATTTTCATGAGTAAAAATAAAGGCAAAAACAAATAACTAAAACAAAGAAAAAAACAGAGTAACATACAACAGTACATATGTTTTAGACTTTCAAAACAGGTATAGCTTATTTATAATGGTTGATATACTATCTGCTTTTATCATTAAATCTGTTGCTCAGACTTACAGATATAGTTATGAAAGACTGGACATATGATTGACTATTACTACTTGCTTTCAAGAAACCTTAAATTTTTGTTCGTGTCTCTTTTTTCTTTCTTTTTCTTTTCTTTTTTTTTTTTACCTTTTTTTCCCCATAATTTCATTGAGAAACAAATAGCAATGAGACAGTTTCAAACCAAATTGGTAGGACAGTTTCAATAATTAACACATTGCATACAGTATTCCTAGTGGTTAATTGCTAGTACAAGATGCGGACATGATATCCTATTTACAAACATTATTAGAACAAATCCCTCTATTCATTAAGAAAATGCAACTATATATCTATCTTAACGATTTTGAATACACTGATATAAAATGAACAGTCATATGTATCCCCTTTTTTGTTACGTTCCGTTATTTGAATATTATAGGTGTGTTAACTCAGCAAAATATTCTAAAAGAGTCTAGTAGTCCATAATAGTATTGGGTCTTCCTCTTGACTGGCAATGTCAGAAAATGTTGACCTGAGTCCCCTAGAGCTCAACATAACAGCATGGCTTTACTTCTTATATTTCATTTTTATACTTTTCTGCTGGATGGTTAAGAACAAGGTAAAGCAGGACCTATGCAACAAGAGTTGTAGCTTTTGGGTCTGATAAGGCCAGTGAAATCCCTTCAGAATTTATCCTGAGATTCTGTACCTCAGATTATAGATCCTTTGTCAGTGTCAGCCATGTGGA